CCACCACACAGAGACCCGAAGCCCATCCCCACTTGCAGATAAACAAATTGAGACTGGGGCAGTCAGACCCCTAGTGCAAGGTCACACAGGTGACGAGTGACAGAGCTGGGGCTGTAATTAGGGCCTGACTCCAAGTCCATGCCCTTGTGGTCTCTCCTCAGGAAGTGTGGTCAGTGAGGACAGCGAGTCTGAACCGCGGAAAGCAGAAGTAGAGGAGCTCATTTTGAGCGTCTCAAGGTCATAAAGGAGAGGAAGTGAGGTCATCTCTAGAGACTGGGCTTGGAGGGTTTAGTCATCTTCACAGAATTTAACGGGAATAGAACGGGGTTGGAATGGCCACTGTGGGATAGTCCAGGGAGTCGACAGCATGACTGAGAGGAATTCTGGACAGCCATGGGGGCCCAGCTGGGGCTGCATAATGTTCATTCTGCAGTGTAACCAATGAAGGCATTTTTATGAGTTTTTCCAGCAACCTTTCACCGCCCACATGTATAGGACCACAGAAGAGATGCTTTTGCTCACTCCTTGGGACTCCACCCTTGATCACAAGCCCGGGAGAGTAAGATCACGTGCAGATGCACCGAGCCATCTGCGGAGAAAGGATAATGGGATCCCCCGGGGCCAGGGATGGGCCAGGTGGGAACAATGGTGGCTTGGGATGGGTGAGGAGCCCGTTCTCCTCCGCAGGAGGGACTGACCGCAAGCAGGCCTGCAAAAACAGCGGGACTGGAAGGCTGAAGTGAAGAAGCAGCTGCTTGCAAAAATACTTACACTGATGTTCACACATTAGAGCGGCCTAGGAAACAACCGCTTCCCTACTCATTCAGAGTGAGTCATCATTTGCGTCGCGCAAGAAGAGGGGAATGCTGATCTCACTGTGTTTACTACCCGAGAACATGGGGGGCTGGACAGGATGGTAAAACATCCGTCCTGGTAAAAGCCTGGTGTTTGCTAACGAGGTTGTATTAGGGCAACGCTCTGCTTTCCAAAAACACCACCCTCAGGAGACAAGAAATAGAGTCATTTTTCTTCCAAGGCAGAAGATTTAACATTGCTTAACAGTAATACTTAACAGCCTTAGCCCTTAGCCTTAAGCAACATCCTAACTACCAAGTGCTAAGAACTGTCTTTTTCCTGGGCTCGGGCTTGGGCTTCGGGAATTGTGTGTTGGCCTGGCAGCAGGGCACGTGAGCCTACTTAAAGATGGCTGAATCCCGTGAAAGCAGAGCAGGGTGGCCTTGACGGGGGCTGCTAGCTCCCTCCCTGCCTGGGGGAGGGGGTGCGGTGTGCATTTTCTCTCTGTGTGTCAACAGCTCCAAATCGGGCATATAAATCAGCATCACTGAGTTAACTTACAAACTACTGTGATGCTCTTCATGAACCACATGGGAACCAAATCAGTTAGGAGCACATTTAGTCTGTTGTAAGGTTGACCACCAACTTCCCATAGATAGAATTTTCCTATTTTTAAAAATTTTTATTTATTTTTAAATTTTTTTGTGATTTTATTTTGTGTGTGTGTTCTAAGATTCATTGTTTATGCACCACACCCAGTGCTCCATACAATTCGTGCCCTCCTTAATACCCACCACCAGGCTCACCATCCCCCTACCCCCTTCCCTCTGAAACCTTCAGTTTGTTTCTCAGAGTCCACAGTGTCTCATGGTTCATCTCCCCCTCCGATTTCCCCCAGCTCACTTCTCTCCAACTCCCAATGCCCTCTGTGTTATTCCTTATGCTCCACAAATAAGTGAAACCATATAATTGACTCTCTCTGCTTGACTTATTTCACTCAGCATAATCTCTTCCAGTCCTGTCCATGTTGCTACAAAAGTTGGGGATTCATCCTTTCTGATGGAGGCATAATACTCCATTGTATCTATGGACCACATCTTCTTTATCCATTCATCTGTTGAAGGGCATCTTGGCTCTTTCCACAGTTTGACGACTGTGGCCATTGCTGCTATGAACACTGGGGTACGGATGGCCCTTCTTTTCACTACATCTGTATCTTTGGGGTAAATACCCGGCAGTGCAATTGCAGGGTCAAAGAATAGCTCTATTTTTAATTTCTTAAGGAATCTTCACACTGTTTTCCAAAGTAGCTGCACCAACTTGCCTTCCCACCAACAGTGTAAGAGGGTTCCCCTTTTCTCCACATCCTCTCCAACACTTGTTGTTTCCCGTCTTGCTAATTTTGGCCATTCTAACTGGTGTAAGGTGGTATCTCAATGTAGTTTTAATTTGAATCTTCCTGATGGCTAGTGATGATGAACATTTTTTCATGTGTCTGATAGCCATTTGTATGTCTTCATTGGAGAAGTGTCTGTTCATGTCTTGTCCTATTTTTTTTTTAAAGATTTATTTTATTTATTTTAGAGAGAGAGATACAGAGCATGAGCAGGGGAAAGGGCAGAGGGAGAGGAAGAGGGAGAGAAGCAAACTTCCCGCTGAGCATGGAGCCGGGCGTGGGTCTCCGTCTCAGGACCCTGAGATCATGACCTGAGCAGAAATCAAGAGCTGGACACTTTGCCAACTGAGCCACCCAGGCGTCCCTGAATTATTCCTATTTTTAATTAAAATTTTAACTCCATAAATATCATAAAGCTCCCTGCCTCTGTGACAAAGAGGGGACGACGTGCCTACTGAGATGCGCTCACCTCCCTCTCCTGGCAAAGGGAGAGCCCCGTGGAGCTGCTGTGATTCAGTGTAGGGGACAGTAAGATCTCCAGGGTTGGGGAGACTAGAAAACCAGGGTAAATGTTGCTGGCACACAGGCCTGGGTCTTCGGTGGGTCCCCTGCCTCTGCATTTTGCATCTTGTTGGGTAAACATGGAGCCCCCACCGTGGACTGGAGGCACATTGGTGAGGGTGCTCTGCATCTCCCCTGAGGTGCTGAGATGGAACCTTGAGGCGGAACTCCTCCATTTGAAAACTAGTGCCAGAGTCCTCTTGTGCATTTGTCTGAGCCCCACTGATGGTCCATCACGGAGACTTCTGGTTGCCAGGTGGCCACAAAGGTCTGTTTCCTCCTGCAGCTAATCACTCCTACCGTGAGTGCACTGTTGGTCAAAACTGTTTTTGGTCTGATATGCTTCTCTTCCAGCTACAGTTATATTCTTGGGGCTGGCAGGATTTTGTCAACTCATGGTTGTGACAGTAGCTCCCGAGCCACAAATAGCATAAATTTATTGCCTTTGTCAGAAAACTCCCTCTGCACTGTTTAATCCTGAAATAGACTTGTGGAAAGTCAGCCACGGTTGAGCATTTCAGGGCTTATTAGTAAAAATAAATAGGAGTTGGAAATTCAGAGGACTTTCTGCTAATAATTACTAAACTAAACATTTGTTGCTCTGTCATAAGAAATTGATTTGCTGCCGCCTGTCCGAGAGAGAGTAGGGTCCTGAGGATGGACTGGTACCCTGTCTCCAGTTTTCAGATTCTCAGGGCTTGATATGGAGTAGATGATTAATAGATATATGGGAAATAAATGAGTGAAATTTATAGAGTTTTCAATGTTATTCCTGAGCTTTTGATTTGTAAAAAAAAAAAAAAAAAAAAAAAATTCCATTTCCGCAGTCTGGTGCAAGTTGGCCAGGAAGACATTAAACTGTTTCCAGTTTTTCTTTTTTTCTCCCCTCTCATAAGAACATACTACTTTCCATCTGCCTTAACCACAATTTCCATACACTTCAATACTGAGAGCCAGAAATGTTATATTTAAAGCAAATTTTGGAGATGACTTCAATTTTTTTTTTTTAAATGAAAACAAAATACGCGGCCAGAGAAAAATAAGGAGAGGAGAGAAATCAAGAATGAGAAAAGACTATGAGACAACATACAAAAAAAGAAAACAGGGAGATAAATAAGATGGAGTTGTAGAGAGGCTTTTAAAACATTGTAGTCAGAGTATCCTGCCCAGTCAATGTTAACAATTGGTTCTTTACTAGATCTGAGATTTTATTATTTTTGAAAATCAACATACTATTTATAAGAGCAGATGGTCACTTAGGCTATGCCTGTTGCAATATCCAGGATGGTATTTTTGTAAATTCACATACAGAATTATAGCCAATGTGAAACTCAGCACAGCAACTCCCTCTGGGATAACACTTCAACAATTCCACTTTGATGAAAAAGCTCTATTTAGGATCCTCCCCCCTCTTTTTAAAAGGAGATATTCCGTAACATTTCAGTTTTCTGGCTGGCATTAACATTTCTTTGTTTGTCCCCCACCCCCTCACCCCCGAACTCACCATTTCTCACCCACCCCCTTCACTCCCATAGTAGCTGCACTAGACGTAATCTTGGAAAGTTCTCCTCTTTGTCATGTGCTACTACTGATAGCAGACCAAAATTATTCTTCATCTCAGAGATAAGAGCACTGGCCTTTGAGAACTGTATCTCATTTTCAGGGGTGTCTAGTTACAGCAGAAGTGGATCGCGTTAGGCCAGAATCACCAAGCGAACTTTTCCCATGTGATTTTTTCCTTCCCTCACCGTGTTTACGCCTCTCAGCAATATTTGCTGACTGCCTAGCGAACCCGACAGATTCTAAATCAAGCAAAGAACATCTTCCCAGGTTCACATTTCTCTCCTGCTTTTTAACTCCCACATGAAGCTCCAGGGTTAAGGTTGGCTTGCCCTTTCTTGTAGGTAACTGCTAGGACCAAGGATTTACTATTTTATTGTTCCTCAACGTGGTACAGGAGGTTTAATGCTATTTTTAGAGCAATGGCTTAAGATTTCCATTCTGGATCCAATATTCTTGCTGACATGTTCAATTGCAATGATATACTATTTTCTTCCCTTACAAAATAACCCACAAGTGTTTCAATTATTAGCACAGTTGTGAAGACGGCACGAGTGTTGTCACAGACGACAGTCAGGAAAATTATAACACAGTCCCCAACTCAAAGCCAGATTTCTATTTCATGTAGATGTCTCTAAATACTTTATTTGTAGGTAAGCTGGTGATAGGAGACCCCTGAGTGATCTACCTGGGTAAGGACGCGTACTGTCTCTCCATCCCCTCAAAGCGGACGTTGTGTGCATTCCCATCTGGACCCTTTCCAGACACCTGTGGAGAGAAAAGTAATTAGAGATGAAGATCCATTATACACCCTGGTTACTGACAATGCATTGCAAAATTACAATCAGTGCCCAAATGCTGCTACTGCCTGCCAAAAACCAACCATGGAAAAGCAAACACGATCTCAGTATTGCTACAGGAATTGATGATCAAGCCACAAACATGGCATAGAACAACAGTCGCTTCTTTCAAAAAGGGTCATTGCCAAACTGACCCCTTCCTGTCACCAAGCTGGGGAGCTTCTGTAGGCTGTAAGACCCCCCCTTTTTTTTCTTTTTACATTGGCTTTAGTTTTTACAACAGCTTGAGACTTACAGAAAAATTGAGAAGCAGTGCGGAGTTCCCAGAACTCAGTTTCCCTCCTGCTAACATCTTACATTAGTACGGTGTATTTCTTCAAAGGAATGAATCAATATTGATACACTACTGTGTATCAACCCACAGTTGATTTGGATTTTAACCCAATCCCTTTCCTGTTCCAGGATCCCCTATTATATTTAGCCATCATATCTCTTTAGGCTCTACTTGGCTGTGACAAGGACTGTATTTTTATTTTTAAAGACTTTATTTATTAGAGAGAGAGAGAGACAGAGCACAAATTGGGAAGGGGCAGAGGGAGAAACAGACTCCCCGAGCAGGGAGTCCAATGCGGGGCTCAATCCCAAGACTCCGGGATCACGACCTGAACTAAGGTAGATGCCCAACCTACTGAGCCACCCAGGCACCCCGGGGACCGTATCTTTTAAAAGTACCTTTTCCATGAAACCTTTCTTTACTAACAGGGGCAGGTGACAACGGTTACTCCGCAGCTTCCATGAAGCCCTCCCTCACCCAGACTTCACTTTGTTCCCTCGCCTAGGAACTACCACAGAGAAGAGACTCTTTTCTATCTAGGGTTGATCTTTAGTATTTTTCCCCCTTCCATTCTACTTCTTCTGTTCACCTCTCTTCCAGTCTCCTCCATCAGCCTCTGAGACACAGAAGAGCAGTGTCTGGCCCCAGAACTAAAGTGTGCTAGCTTTGTGGATGTTGAGACTTTATACATAGTCCTTCTGCATCTATCACAGCAATCCAAAACAGGATGAATGCACCCAGGTATTTAAAAGTATTTGTTGACTTGTCAATTCATCACCTGTTCAAGTCAACACATGTGGTTTTGTGGATCCCTTATGTGCTGGCTCTGAGGCTGAGCTAGCCCTCACGGAATGGGCACGGAAGGGGTAAACAGAACACCTGGACCATTAGAGGGGGGAAGGGAGAGTTTGCTAGTAAGCACAGGAAGTAATGGTGCCAAGTCAGTAGGGGAAATTTTTCTAGGTAGCATTGAACTTGCAAATTATTTTCTTCCTGCCAAAAGTTCTAGCTCTCTGCGAAAGCACCATCCCAGCTTGGGTGGCATGCGTGGGGAGGGCTTCTTGTGAGAGGTGTTGCAAAACAAGTATACATGCTCATTTAGAGTAAGAAAGACTATTCCCAGTATCAAATCATTAGAGGAGGCTCTTCAGAGTGTGTCCTGCAAAACTTCTTTGTATTTCACGAATCCATGGAACAGGAATGGCCAGAGTTATCTGAGAGGGCAACATCCCAGTGAATTACGAGGTGAGGATGAGGACTGCACACACAGACTTAGAAGCAACTGCCGGGAGACTGAGAATTCTCTGCATTAGGTTAAAAGCCCTGATTTAAACCACCGACCTTTCTAACAAAGACCAGAGACAAGGGTGGTATCAGACAAACAGGGGTTAAAGAAATGGTGCAGAAAGAGAAGGGAAGGATACAATTACTGTCCTCGGCCACTTCTATCTAAGGTTTATTTTGTTTTTAACCTATTGGTTATCAAGGAAGAGTTAGCGTGAACACCAGGACTATTTAATTGTGATTGTTGGGTATTATGTGTATGTATCCCTACTATGGCTCTAGACATTTACAAGTTATCTTTTCTGGTGGCCACAAAACTCCAAGTTAATACTTCCAACACTGTTATCCAGAACTGGCCTGGCCCAGGGACGGCTGTCTACATTCCGGTGTCTCTCGGAGGCAGCACCCAGGTGCCTCTTTTTCTGAAAAGCTATCAGCATAAGAGATTATATGAAATGTAGGATGAACCTTATCTTAAGGAAGTTTTTGTGTTGTTGGGAAAACAAGCATCAAGAATGAAATCATTAAAGAATGATGTAGGACAATGTATGATCCCATGCCATTCAGGATGTTACTAAGAGTAGTACAGGTGACACTGGAAGGTGTCAGGAAAAACTTCCCGGAAGTAGCAGAACACAGACCAAAGATGGGTGGCATGCTTCTATATCAAAAATTATTCTCTTCTTCACCAGCTGTGTAGGTTTTTAATTATTATATTTATATCATGCATATATCATGCTTCTCTATTAACATGACAACATCTTCAGTGCAATCATGGACTTAGTGATTACTGAGCAGCTACTATATCCCAATGCCACGCTAGGCACTATATTTCAAGGAATGAAGAAGGGCTAGATTTCTTCATGGTGTTGAATATAGAGGAGACAGGCCTGCAAACAATTAAGGTGCAATGAGATCACTGCTGGAGTCAGCATGAGAGAGCAGGCAGTAGGAGTCTGAAGAAACAGATACGAAAGTCTGCCTGGCAGAGTTGAAGACAGCTTCATACGGGTGTTGAAGCTTCATCGAAAACTTGAATATGAATGAGGATAAGTTATTTTGTGCGGGGGGAGAAGGTGCAGGAGTAGCAGGAGAAGGCATTCTAAGTCTAGAGAACAAAAATGAAACAATATGGAGGCATTTAAAAAAGAAAAGCACTGGTTTTCAGGGAAAGTCAAGTGTTTGGTTAAAGGAAGAAACAGAACCTATTGAGGAAAAGGGTATTTGTGATAGCAACACCACCACTATTATTATGGCTATAACCATAACTGCACTTTTTTCTTAATGAGCTTTGGTTTTTTAGAGCACTTCCAGGCTCACAGCAAAATTGAGAGGAAGGTACACAGAGTTCCTATCCCACTACCCCCACCATGAGGAACATTTGTTACAATTGATAAACTTACATGGACACAGCACGGCAAAGTCCAGAGTTTACATTAGGACTCACTCTTGGGGATGTACATTCTACTGGGTTGGAGCAAATGTATGACATGTATCCATTATTATAGTACGATACAGAATTTTTTCATTGCCCTAAAAATTCTCTGTGTTCTGCCTACTCATTCCTCCCTCTCCCCAAACCCATGGTAACCACTGGTCTTTTTACTGTTTCCATAGTTTAGCCTTTTCCAGAATATCATGTAGTTGGAATCTTAGAGTCTGTAGCCTTTTTTTTAATATTATCTTCTTTCACTTAATAATATGCATTTAAGTTCCATCCATGTCTTTTTGTGCTCGATAACTTACTTCTTTTCAGTGCTGAATAATATTGTATTGTTTGGTTGTACCACTTAATCCACTTATCTACTGACAGACATCTTGGTGCTTCCAACTTTCCACAATAATAAAGTTACTAGGAACATTGTCTGCAGATTTTTGTGTGAAGATAATTTTCAATGACCTTATGGAAATAGCAAATAGTGCGGTTGCTGGGTTGTACGCTCAGAGTCTGATACTACTGAGCTGTCTTCCAAAGTGGCGGTACCATTTTGCATTCCTGCTAGTGATGAATGAGAGTTCGTGTTATTCCACATCCTCACCAGCATTTGGGGTTGTCAGTGTTCCAGATTTTGGCCATTCTAGTGGGTGTGTGGTGATACCTTATCGTTGTTTTAATTTATATTTTCCTAATGACCTATGATGTGGAGCATCTTTTCATATGCTTATTTGCCATCTATTGTATATCTTCTTTGATGGGGTGTCTGTTAAGGTATCTTTGGTCCATATTTTAATTGGTTTGTTTCTTTACTTATTGTGGATTTTTTTTTTTTTTAAGATTTTATTTGAGAGAGAGAGAGGGATCACAAGTAGGCAGAGGGGCAGGCAGAGAGAGGGGGGAAGCAGGCTCCCTGCTGAGCAGAGAGCCCAATTTGGACTTGATCCCAGGACCCTGAGATCATGACCTGAGCCCAAGGCAGAGGCCCAACCCACTGAGCCACCCAGGCGCCCTTATTGTGGGGTTTTAAGAGTTCTTTGTAGTTTTAGATAACAGTCCATCATATGTGTCTTTTGCAAACATTTTTTCCAACCTGTGGCTTATCTTTTCATTCTCTTGACAGTGTTTATTGCAGAGCAGAACTTTTTAATTTTAATGAAGTCCAGGTGACCAATTCTTTCTTTTGCGCATCTTGCCTTTGGTGTCATATTTAAAAAGTCATTACCAAAACCAAGATCATCTAGATTTATTTTCTGTGTTATCTTCTAGTACTTTTATAGTTTGCATTTTAAATTGGGTCAGTGATTCATGTTGAGTTAATTTTTGTAAAGGGTGTAAGGTCTGTGTCTAGATTCATTTTTTTTTACATGTTGGATGTCCAGTTGTTACAGCACCATTTGAAAAGACTATCCTTGCTACACTTTTATCAGAGACCAAAATAAATATTTATTTGGGTTTATTTCTGGGCTCTCCATTCTGTTTCATTGACTTATTTGTCTATTCTTTCACCAATACCACACTGTCTTGATTGCTATAGCTCTATAATAAGTCTTGAAGTTGGGTAGTGTTAGTCCTCTAACTTTGTACTCTTTTTTTTTTTTTTAAGATTTATTTATTTATTTATTTGACAGAGAGAGAGAGAGAGATATCACAAGTAGGGAGAGAGGCAGGCAGAGAAAGACTGGGAAGCAGGCTCCCTGATGAACAGAGAGCCTGATGCGGTCCTGATTCTAGGACCCTGGGACCATGACCTGAGCTGAAGGCAGAGGCTTAACCCACTGAGCCACTCAGGCACCTATCTTTCTACTCCTTCAATATTATGTTGGTTATTCTAGGTCTTTTGTTTCTCCATATGAACTTCAGAATCAGTTTGTTAAGATTCTTTAGAATCAAGAAAATAACTTGCTAAGATTTT